CCACGTTACAAAAGAGCGTACCACCACCACCAAGACTCCTAAAAAAAACCATAGTTTACCTGTTGTTAGTCCTGCTAGTTCCCCTAATTCTCTTCAAGCCATTTTTTCAAAACCCTCAAACGATGCTGAGGATATTGCTTCATTTTCAACTAATTCTGATCCTTCCACTCCTTCTGTTGATGAAGCCAATAAAGCTTGTGAACCTTTATATGAGCTTTCTAATAAAGCTACTTATGGAAGCTCTACAAACGGTGCTTCTACCAATGGTTCTACTGTAAATGTCTCTTCTGTAAATGGCTCTTCTGTAAATGGCTCTACTGAACCAAAAAAGATTACCTTTGTTCGGAGTATTCAGAAACTTTTAATTCATGATTCAAAATCTCCCGTTTCTTCTCCTGTTGGTTCTCCTGAAGAAGAAAAAGAAGATTTCAATTTCAATGTTACTCCCGACGCTAGAACTATGTTGAAAGAAATTCTTCATCCAAAATTAGAACTTGAAGAAAAACAAACTCAACGTAGTGATTCGGGTAGTGATAGTGGTAAAACTGCTGATCCAGAATCCATGCTAATAAAAAAATACGGTGTGTGTGATAAGGGTTGTATTGGTAAAGGTGCTACTGCCGTCGTTCGTCTTGCTCATAAATTTGATAAGTCGGATTGCGAAAAAATTTATGCTGTTAAGGTATTTATTTTATATAATTTATTTAAATAGGCATTAATAGAAATTTACAGTTAAATAATATTTCATTACTCTTATATAGGAGTTTAGAAAGAGAAGAAAGAATGAATCTGAAAAAGACTATGTAAAAAAATTAACTAGTGAATTCTGTATAAGTTCTACGTTACAACATGAAAATGTTGTCAGAACAGTAGATTTAGTTCAAGATGAAAATCATAACTGGTGTGAAGTTATGGTTCGTAACACAATTTTTTTGTCACTTTATCATTTTTTTGCTATCGTAAAATTATTTACCGGTATTAATGACTTTTTTTTTTTTTTTAATAATATAGGAATATTGTGCTGGTGGTGACCTTTATACTGCTATTAAAGCTGGCCATATGACAAATACAGAGATAGATTGTTGTTTTAAGCAACTTGTAAGAGGTGTTGGTTATCTCCATTCTATGGGTGTTGCTCATAGGTATGAAATTTTTCTTTTATTAATTATTATTAACTTTATTAACTTTGTATTTCATTCATTAATCCTTTTTTTTCGTTCTTTTTCGTTTGTTATTAGGGACATAAAACCTGAAAACTTGTTGCTTGATGCAAGTGGCAATTTGAAAATCACTGACTTTGGTGTATCAGATGTTTTTAGAACATGTTGGGA